AAATGTGGGTGATTTAGGAACAATCCATTTGTGCGGGAGGGGGATATGTCCATTTTTGGTACTGGGGATGTGGTGAAGCCATGCTGCATTTACTCCTGAGCAAATGTTGGCCTTTCTAGGGGAAATTTTGAATGGGGAGGAATAATGGGTCAAATGTGATGTATTTCCTCTTGAGCAAATGTCGGCTTTTCTAGTTGAAGGATTTTTTTGCCGTTTTGAAGTTTGGATCGCCGCACATCGGAGGCCAATTCTCATCTCCTTTTTGCCGAATTCTACGATCCGTATTTCCGTAGAAAGACATGGTACAGGCTAGGTAAATAGTATGTTTCTTCGTTCACAAAAAGACTCTCTGACCACTATAAGTACGATAATCATCTTCAAAGAAACCTACACTATACACACACACAACACACACCAAACCAATATCACACTGTCGAAGGCATGAGACCTCCGAACTCCGAAGTTGTTCATATTTTGAAACACCCTAAATAGGATCCAAATGCAATCAATTATATTTGTGGGCATCTCACTGTCTGATTGAATCTGAAATATTGATGAGCAGGACCACTCTGGACAATGGCTGGTTGTTCCCCCACATCACAGATGTTAGGGTACCATGTACACGTACGTGCATAGCCTAACGGAAACGTAGTATTAAAAAAACTATCATTGCATATACAACCCCGATGTACATTCATCGATATAAACGTTTACTCCTATTCTACTTTCATTTATTTGATTGTTTACACACCTATGTCATAATGTTTATAGTTATTTTTCCCTTGCCTCTCTTTGTCCTTCTCTCCAACCATTTTCCCAACAATCTATCTTTCTGTCAATAATTTCACTTTTTTGTCCTTGGCAGCTGAAAAATAGTGACCTTTAGCCTGCAATGAGAGGAAATAAACGTCATGCAAACGCGGAGGAAACGCTTAATAATATGCCTGAATACGCGAAACGTATAATCAATAAAAATTAGAAAAAAAATCATGTAGGCTGACCGGCATCTGTATACTTGTAATCAATAATCAATAAAATTAAAAAAAAACATGTTGGTTGTACGGTATCTCTATACTTGTATTTCCTGCCTTATAAGATATTTACCGACTCTTTGGTAAGCGCATTCAAACCAACTGAAAACATCTTTTTGTATAAATAGATATATGTTGGCTTCTTCCAGCCGGAGTGTTTCTTTCTATTTTGTTAAAAAATTACTGGCTTTTAGTGTTTTTTACTGTTCGGTAGAGCTTTAGAACTAATCCCATACTCTTGTGTTTTGCTAGCCGTCAAAGGGTTCAGAGGTCATTCTCTTATTGTTTATATTTCTCGTACTTTATTTCGCTGGTCAAAAAGTTAAATTTTAGGACTAAATGGACGATTTGGCGGTTGGACTACCCTGCCAATGTGACTTTTCCATAGTTGAACACACTAGATAGGTGGTTTTTGCTTTGACAGCTTTTTTCTGGTATATCTACAATGATATTCTGAGGGACTTTGAAATAGAAGCTGTCCCCTCTTGTGTGGAGAGAAGTAATAAATCGCATGCAAATTGGGAGTATTTAAAACTGATGTTCACTGCTGGGGGGACAGGTGTTTATTAGGTTGTTCGCCTCTCTCTCGGGACATATATTCCCAATATGAGCATAAACAGTAGACCACGTCCCATTCTAAGGCATACAACTCTTTCAAGTAACGTGCAAGTCAATGAAAACACCGAACATTGAATACACAACACACTAAATCCGAAAAGATACACCCAGTAGTGACGACAATGACAATCATCGTGACTCACTCACTCAATCACTCAAGGCCGCATGCTTTCAAGGGAAGCGTAGCGCCTCGGCATATGGATCTCCAGGTGGTTCTGTCGTTCATCGTGACTATGTTGGAATATTTCCGTACTCGCAGAACGTGTGTTTCTGTACTACGACTTATGTGTCACACATCATTTGGTTTACATACTAGCAAAATAAAAGTCAAACTATATACAGCAGCATATTTCTGATAAACCAAACTCATACATGACGAAGGTATGAAATCATCGACCTCTTGTTAAAAATATGGAATTCCATTATCCCTATATACAGCCAACGTTTTCTAAAAGCCCCAGCCATATCTTACTATTGCCAAGGGGTCACGTAGACTTGACAATATACACAGTACTGCGTTTACCTAAATAAATCTAATATTATTTCGAATTTCAGACTTAGCATTATTTTTTTTAAGTCAGAATCGATACCGATGGTTTCTGACTAATTTGCATTATCTTGTCTTAACTTGTCTGACATTTGAATCCTTTTCGACTTCAAAAAATATTTTTTTCACTTTATTTGCATATCAATCAATAGTTTGTGCTTATAAACCTGCATTTCTCCTCTCTCTCTGGTCTTTCAGTCACTGACGAAAGCTAGTGGATACTAGCTGTAACGTCTGACCGTTTCCAAAATCATATATAGTTGCTGGACTAACTGCTTTTTGGTAACACCAATGCTATTTTATGCTGTTAACTGTGCTGTCATTACCCTTTTTAAAAATCAACAACAAAATGTAATGCACAGAGTATTACAGTCTTCGTATCTTACCTTCGTCACAATATATCTGAAGCGCCTTTGTTGTGTCGACAACAGTGCCTTGATCTGAAGCCACAGATATTCGTTTCCCCCAGTCTACCTGCGGTGTTAAAATGGCCCCGCTTTTATAGCCATCTGAAGTGCCTTTGTTAGTCGACAACAGTGTCTTGATTTGAAGCCACGAGTGTTTGTTCCTCACAGTCTGCTTGTGGTGAAAGAATGGACCCGATTTTATAGCCTTCTGAATTGAAGTGCCTTTGTTGTATCGACAACAGTGCCTTGATCTAAAGCCACTAGTCTTCGTTCCCGCAGTCTAATTTTGGTGTTAAAATGGCCCCGCTTTAAAAGCCTCTCAGCCCGCCAGTAACAGGTACATCATGCCACGAAGTTTACCACAGGTGCGTGTGGGGAAGATATCTCTGTGACGTTGTCATGCGCAGAAGTTCGTGGTATGTTTGCAATTTGCCTCGGAAGACAAAGCTGCTTGACGTGCTTAGAATCTAAAATTACAGCAGGCTGTATCCTTGTAATGCCACTCGCTACAATCGTTAAAATACATCGGTGTCAGACAGGGGTAATTTACAAGCAGAGGTTTAGGCTTCGGCTCTTTTACGTGTTTTAGACATTTTGAGGGCTTTTTGGGGGTGTTTTCTTTTTTAATCCATCCAAATGGGTAGTAAATGGATACTGTCCTGCAAATTTGATATTGAATTAATGCAACCGAAAGGTGTGCTTGAAGAGAATATAGCACGATCTGTTGACACACTTCCCATACCGATCTATCGCCCTACAGCAATGGTAAATTTGAATGCAAATGGTAAATTTAAATGTCTGTGGCATCGAATGACTTGAAATCTGATGAACAGCGTGATGAAGTGTGAATAGCATCTTAGCATGTTTGTGTCGACAACAGTGCCTTGATCTGAAGCTATAAGTGATCGTTCCCGCAGTCTGATTGTGGTGTTAGAATAATCCCGCTTTTATAGCCTTCCTGCCCGCCAGTAACAGATACATCGTGTCACGAAGTTTACCATGGCCTAAAACTGGCACCCTGTAATCTCCGAAAACTTGTACGTAACGGGTTTGAAGAGAAGAAAAGCTGCATATTATCCCATATAAAGAACAGTACCATCCTGTCAATAACAGAAAATTGCAATATTGACTGGACCATATCCTGTCAATTAAAGAAAATTCACTATTTACAGGACCATCCTCTCAATTGTGCTTTTTTTCATTATTGACAGGATTCTTTCAATGCCTTGTTAGTAATCAGAAGCCAACATCTGCCCACATAGATTAAACTAACTGCAAAGTTGGAGTATTTGTCAATAATTGGTAATGTCAAACCCTAACAGGTAATGGTTAAAAACTTTAATCTGTCGGCAGCGATGGACTTGGCATGCCCATGGTATACTTGAAGCATTTTAAAATGGAATTTTCTTTCTCAATATTGACAGGACAGGTGGTACTGTCAATAACGGAAAATTTTGCATGCTATTGACAGGATGGTCCTGTACATCGTGGATTTCCTCTGTTATTGACAGGACCATCTTGTCAATAGTAGGAAAATGTGCACTATTGACAGGAACATCCTGTCAATAACAGAAAATTTTTCAATATTTACAGGATGGTCCTGTCAATATCCACAAGCTTTTAAAAGACTGTTTCAATAAGTATCTCGTGTGGTGCCTTGCATGCTTGGACGGAGGTTCTGTGGACATTTTTCATCACTTTTCATCCACAAAGCGACTTCTTCTAGATTACCCAACTCCAAGCAGCCTTCAGCAAAGACCAAAGGTACAAAGTCCAAGGGTTTGTTCGTCCTTACTTAAATTAGGAATCTTTAGAAGCGCAATTTTCACCTCCCACTTGCTACAAACCGACCACGACCTTATACACATCCTCGTTGAAGACCAGAGTGACTGTTTAAAAGCTCTAGGTGAGAGCGAACTTTTTGTGTTGGATCAAAATTTTTTTTGTGTTGGATCAAAATTTTAACTCTTCACATATTTTGTGAGTTACTTAGGTTACGTATTTTACATGATACTGTACATGGTTTTTTATTAATTTTGTTCCTTGTATAAAGTACAGTAACTGTACCTTCACCACGACAGTTAGTGATGAGAAGGCAACATATAGTCCCGACGGTACAGAGCAGACGCCAAACAAACATTCCTTAGGATTCACCCTGTGGGAATCAAGCAGAACAAACAGCCAAAAGTGCACAACACAGTCACACCCTCCTGGACGAAATGGAAGGCACCGCTTGCCTCGATGTAGACTGCTTGTTAAGTATGGTTGTACTGACAGTTAACATAAAAATTATTTAACGAAACTTAGAAAACACTATCAACTGAAAAAAATCCATTAATCTGATCGCAGTCCGACGTCCACCACTGCCTCAACCACATAATAATGAAATAGATCTACTATTGACAATAATCGTAGAATCTGATACAGTATCATCCACGTTCTGCCGACGTGCTTGATAAAGGCACTCTGCTTACTAAGCAACGGCAACATGTCCCTTCCCCGTCTCTTGTTTTTACATTTCTTAAACTTCTTAAGTGACTGCATTTGATCAAGTAT